CTTAAAAGAATTCTCGTGAGAATTACTAAAAGTTATTGAAAAATTTTATTATTAGACATGAAATTACAATCTTTATTATATAGTATATTATTATTATTATTACAATATTAACTTAATTATAAATACCAAATAATTAGTAATAATCACAACAGAGAGAGAGAGAGTGAGAGAGAGATCATTTTAATCAACAAACATTAAATGAATTCAACGATTCAATAATGACAGGAAACATGATTTGGGATAAGAGTTGTGGCTCTCAATGATTTTGGTGGATAATGTGTTGCTTAGTCAGGCTTTAATGGACTCTTAGGTAGAGTTAATTCATCTGAAAAATGACTCTCTCTCTCTCTCTCTCTTTCTTTCTCTCTCTCTCTCTCTCTCTCTCTTTCTTTCTYTCTCTCTCTCTCTCTCTCTCTCTCTCTCTCTCTCTCTCAGTCTCTTTCTTTCTCTCAAAATTTCTATCTCATAGCGAATCTTCAAATTATTATTATTTTTCAAAAATAGAAATCTATTTTGCTTTTGAAATAATCAAAACTAAAGTAAAGTTCGTGTAATTTATATCTTGTTTTTTAGAGAGAAAGTTTGGGATCTTTTACTGAATACATGCCTCAGGCGTTGATAATTGTTTTGAAACTTTTTTCTCGCATTACTTTTTTAAGCTCTAATTCTATACATATCTTATACTGTTATATATATATATAATATAATATCTGAAATAAGATTTATTTAGACTTATATCAGATTATATTTCATATAACATTGTTTGCAAGTTATTAACTAGTGAATGATAATTCATGTCATTTTTAAAAAATATGAAATAGGTTTGTATGACTTAAATATTTATTGTAACTATCTTTATTGAAAAATAAAGAGAGAGAGAGAGAGAGAGAGAGAGAGAGAGAGAGAGAGAGAGAGAGAGCAATGAATAACTCAAGTTATTAGGTGGGGTTTACATCTCTTAACTATTAATTTTAAAGTCAAACGCGCACTCAGTCTAGACTTATATGTGGCTATTATTTACCAACACATGTATAGTACCGGTATATATATAGATTAATATATATATATTTTAGGACACAATCAGCCAACCCTATCACAGCATATTTGTAGTCAATGATTATCTAAATAGAAAAATAAATAATTTTACAATATTTTTTTAAATAAAATCTTAACTGTAATAATAATAAAAAGCTTGTGTGTGTGTGTGTAAATCATTAAATGTTTAATAGTAGTGTAAATGAAAATGTAATTAGTTTTAAATTTGAATGAAACTTATTTTTAAAAATGTTGATATAATATAAATTATTATAAAACTTTTTGAAACATTGTTTATAAATTTATATGAATGTGTTAATAAATGGGTGGAGGTTTGTGTGCGCCGGCAATCAAACCGACAAAAAAATAATAAAAAAATAAAGGAATAAATTAAATAAAATGCTATTTTTAAAAACGATTCTTGAATTGTGTGAATGAATGAATTGTGCTATTATTTTAGTCAAATAGGTGACCACCCTCATCATATCGTTCCTCTATATAAATTATATACAGTATATATATATATTATAGTATATACCATCATATATAGTATACAACACCATACATAAACCATCAAACATGCAAACATTCAGTTAAATTATATATAAACATAATCAACAACAACAAAAAATTATAGTATTGCTCATTAGTTTTGATCAAACAATTTTTTTCTCTCTAACCATTAGTACATCAAATTAATATTTAAACTTATCAGTAATTACAATACAGTTGAATAGTAATAGTAATAATAATAAATATATTTTTAAAAAATTTTAGTATTTTTAAAAGAATACTACAAATGATAGTGAAAATTGTTGTCCTAATACAGTATAACATTATATATAAAGACCTACCTATTCGTGTTAATGCTCATCATCTTTAATATTATATTATTTTTTAAATATTGATGTCCTCCCCGATCGGCTTCACTGACTCTCAATAATACATTTTTCTCAGCTTTTCATAACTATAAGGCACTTCTCAAACTCATTATTATTATTATTATTTTACAATACTTTTTTTTAGACAATTACTTTAACATTAAAATACTATTGAATAATATATAGTATTCATTATCAAATATAAATATTGAAAAGTTATCTACAATAAGGTTTAATAGCAATTATTTTTAATGTTTATTATAAATTATTAAATTATAGTTTATTTCATATTATAATATTTAACTTTGATTTAATTATTTTTGTTGTTGTATAGATTTTATAATTTGTTAAATTAAACTATGAATATGTTAAATTATTTTATTAATTTTAATTTTAAAAATGTAATAATAATTATTAATATTTTAGAAAAGATATTACAATAGATTACACTAATAATTATATCTTTAATTATTTAAAATGTTAATATAACTTATAAATTGATATTATTAAAAAAACAATTTTATTATTTTTTTTAAATAACTTTAACTTAAGATAATTATCTAAATGAAGATTTAAATTAATTAGAAAAAATATCATAAAGTGATAGTTTATATTTATAATTTTAAAATAATATTGATATATTATGGGAACAAAATGATCGGAATTTTGTTGATTTTTTATTTTTACATAATTATCTAAATAAATATATTTAAAAAAAATATTACGTGTATACAGTATGTTTCTATCTATATAATAAATATACAGTATTTACAATACATCTATCATTATATATAAATGTATGTGTGTTGTTATCTTATGAACACAACAACTAAAAATTTTATTTTTACTTTTGAGATATGATTTTTCAATTAAAATATAAATGCTATAAATTAATTAATTGAAAGTCAAGTTTTCTCATAGCAATCGTTTAAAAGATGAAATATATATTTTTCATTTGCTGTTAAAACCACAGGTATTCACAGTTTCTATGAATGATACTTCACTTCTTGTCTTTTTTCAAATGATTAGTCGTTTTTCTATTAACTTACTTCTTAGAGATCTATATCTTGTATATTATGTGTGTATATATTTAGAGAGAGAGAGAGAGAGAGAGAGAGAGAGAGAGAGAGAGAGAGAGAGAGAGAGACTCATGAATTTAATATTTTGTTTTCATGTTTTGAGATGAGATGGAGATGTAGTGTCACTTTAATAGGTAATGGATATACTGTATGGATGTTGACCTGAACTATGCGCACACATGTTGTAAGCTATTATATCATATATATTATATAACTTTTTTGAACTAAATTATATATATATATATATATATATATATAGCTAATAATAAACACATACACACACACACAACAAACTTATCTAAAAATCAGATAAAATTTATATTAATTGAAAATCTAACGCATCATTGAAATAAAAAATTAAAATGTTGTTTCGAATTATATAAAATGATTTTGATTGACATTTTTAAAAATTTAAAAACAGAAAAAATAAATAAAAATAATATTTTGTTAAATTTTTACTTAATATAATTTATTTGAAAAAGATAAAACGCTTGTTAAAAGTATAAGATTAATATAAGTTTTATATTTTTTGTTATTTTTTAATTTATATAAAGAGTAATTAATTTAATAGTATTTATAAATAATTAAATATAGAAATCTTTTTTTTATATTAAAATTAATATTTTTTATATGCTTTAATAATATTTTAGTGATATTTTTAACAAAAGGTAAATTAACAGTAAAAGCAATTAATAATTTTATTATATATTTACTAAAAATTCTTAAGATTCTATTATTTTTATGAAATACCATTTAATGATATTATCCACGTATTTACTGGTCTTATGTCAAACACTGATCAGCGCGTGAGTTGATATACGGCAATATATGCGCCACAATAGGGGTGGGATCTCGACAGTAGAGTCGGTTTTATGTGAGAACTGGTATCAAATGAATTGGGCGACCAATGAGTACAATGAATCTACTGTGTACTACACTCCCCTAAACGACCGATTCATAGTATAGATAGTGGTTGTGTCGGCACAGGTATAGAGAGCGCACCAGTATTTGTTTGACAGGTAATTCCCTATTTCTCTAATACAACTATGTATAACAATTGAGAGTCAGAGTACTCTTGTATGCCGGGCCTTAGCATACAGTATGCTGTATACTCTCAGTGAATATATATCGTCAAAAAAATCAGCAAATATATAATATTCAAATTGTTTAATATATTGATATATTGCAAATTTAATTAATTATTGTTGTGTCAATATATTATTTTATTTATTTTTTTTAAAAAATGATCAAGCATAAATATATATATGTGTGTGAGCATGGCTATTTTATTAAACGGTGCAAATTCTTTACCATTATTTAAATCATACGATTCCTACAAGTATTGTCTCATTCATGTGTTTTATGTGTGTTTTATATATACGTATAGATCCAAAAATTACTGGTTAATGACACCATTAATATGAATATTATTGCATGTTTTGTGAAATTCAACTAGTTATATTATTATTATTATTATTATTATTACTATCATTACTATCATTATTGAATATAGATTATTATCATTGAATTTTGTTTTATTGTTAGTCATGTCGTATGAAAAATGACCATGATATATTTATGATTTTATAGTCATAATAAAATCAAAACACGTGTTTATTTTGACAATTATTATTATTATTATGATTATTACTATAAACACTGTATTAATATACACTTTAATATTAAATATTGATTTTTATTAATTAATAACTATGTTAATACCGTTCAACGAAATCGATTAATATACATTAAATAACAATTAAATAATAATTATTGCTTTTTTATATAATATTATACATATATATAAATATATATACAATGAAAAGTAAATAATAATTATCATTAATAAAGACATTTACATAAATTGTGTTTTTTTAATATAATTAATATATTTGCATATATGTTATATTAATGCAATTGCACTGATCATCCGGTCATCTCATGGTAATAGTTGGTGTTAAAGGGACAGCCAGTGCTCCGTACATAACGACCCCAAACATGAATCACCTTGGCACTATGTACGCCACCAAAAGGAGACGCAGGAACAGCAAAAGGTATGTCATATCTATTTGTTGCCCGATTTCTAACCCATAGTTTAACAAATAAGTTTACAAATAAGTATATATATATATGTACTGTATATAAGTATGTTTGTGAGTATAAGATACTGAGAGCCCTGTGCGATGCTTTTCAATACTGTAGAGAATCTCCCGGTGCTCTCAATGAGAGTCATTAGCGGAGGCCACCTCTCAGTGCACTCTAGAAAAAAAGTCCATTAATTATATCAGTTTGAACTTCAGTTTCGACAGCTATGAGTATTTTCACTTTTATATACTATATATATATATATATTGATGCTTAATATTGTTGTTGACTATGACTTTTACTAAATGCTATAAATTAATGTGTTTATGACTTATATTATTTAATGCTCTAAAAAATACTTTTTATTTTTTGGACAAAAACTAGCTCTATATATGTCTATGTCATTTAAAGTGCAATTCTCTCTCTCTCTCTCTCTCTCTCTCTCTCTCTCTCTCTCTCTCTCTCTCTCTCTTATATTATGACTCTCATCCCATAATGTATACCTTTCAGCTGATTAGGCATTTTTAGTTCATTCGTATGACATAATGCTTTAGCAGAGAGAGAGAGAGAGAGAGAGAGAGAGAGAGAGAGAGAGAGAGAGAGAGAGAGAGAGAGAGAGAGAGAGAGAGAGAGAGAGAGAATTAAACGTTAATTACATTAGCAGTTAGTGTTGTGATCTACTATTGCTGTCCTCTGTGTTTATATTTTCACTGCAGTTCAGGGAATGACAGGTAATATGACAGTTGACGACAAAATTATTGCTTTCATTTGGCCACTAAAAACCCTTTCCTTAATTAGCGAGAAAAAAAAAGAGAGACTAAATATAATTGCATTTTGAATGCACACAGAGTTTGACATCAATACTATACAACACAACAGCATTATTAGCGAATACCCCATGAATTCAATGAGAATATTGTAATAAACATAAATAAAAGCTTGAGTTTAATGAATTTTAGGCTCTCCTACAAACATAAAGTACTATATATTGTGTATACAGTATATACCGGTATATATTATATACTTTTTCTGATTGAAATAAATATAACCATCAAATGACAGCACAAAAACACACACACATTCATAAACTCAATTATAGAAAAAAAGTAATTATTGCTATATTTTTTTATAACAACAGTATACGTGTTCAGCCAAAGGATGGTCAAACCAAATCCAATCCTTCAAAGAGACACAGAGAACGGCTCAACTCAGAGCTCGATATGTTGGCCAGTCTTCTACCATATGAACAGTCGGTTCTCTCCAAACTCGATAAACTATCAATACTTCGACTCAGTGTTTCTTATTTACGGACAAAGAGCTACTTTCACGGTAGGCATACATTTTTATTTTTATTTATTACCATCAATTGATTCAATACATAAAGTATAAGTCATATGTTTGACATGTCATCTTGCAGTTGGAGGTATTTGAGGCCCATTTTAAAAGGGGTCTCAATTTTGAACTCTAAAATATCCTAACATGATAAAATTAAAATTTGCACCTGGCAATAGCTGGTTTAGATAAATGGTTTTTTAATCTTGTCATTAATTAATAATTAAAAATTATAATTAACAAAATTAATCAAAATTTTATACAAACAATATTATATTCATCATATGGTATACATTATATATATATATATATATTTATGCAAATAAAATTTCTGATCTATAATTATAAATATATGTTTCATTTTGAAGTTTAAAAAAATTCTAAGCAAACTAAATGCTAATATGTTCAGTCATGTATGTTTAATAAATAACAATTTCAATCTACTGTAATTGTGAGGTACAACTTCTACCTTATATATTATTTTTATATTGATAAATTTGACATTAAGTATATTAAAATAACTAAATATATAATAATTGAGGTGATTAACTGAATACAGTAACAATACATACTTTAAATATAATATTTAAATAATGTGCTAAATTAATTAAATTTTCAAATAATTGAATAGAAAAATTGATACAATTTTATTATTTAGATAAATAAGGTAATACTTATACAAATTGATTTTACTATAATTACTTTTACAGTATTGTACAATATATTTGTTTAATAAAAATACTGAAAGCAACTCATTTGATACTTAAAGTATAACTTTTTTGCTAAACATTATATGATATAGTATTATATAAAAATAAATATAGACTGAGAAGCAGTGAAAGATATATATATATATATATATATATATATATATATATATATACAGTATATTATAACATATACACGAAATTACAGTAAGATATTTGTAAAAGCAGGTGCAATCTAAATGGCCAGTATGTATGTATGTTAGGCTCGTTGGGTCATATTATGGGAGAGTTGTCAGCTTTTGTTATTAAAGTACAGTATATATGATATAATACAACATTTATTTCTCAAGCTTTTGACTTTGACTGACTCTCTCTCTCTCTCTCTCTCTCTCTCTCTCTCTCTCTCTCTCTCTCTCTATTTATTTCTTTTACTCACTCACTCCAACTAATATATAAAATATATTTTATATAATCATTTGACTACCTTTGGTATATTTAATATGTTAGGTTAATACTGTACATATGGCATATAGTGTATGTGTGCATAAAATTTTGTATTATTTTAAATTTAAATACTGAATACAAAATAACTATAATTTATTAACTGACACTTGAGTTATTTATATAAATGTAATTTTATATATAGAAAAATTGCTTCAGTTAGCATATATTTGGTTTATCAAAAAAATATGTATACTATAACATAAATTATATATAATTGTTTATAAAACTTATTATGGCATCCTATATGTTATACAATATAACAAATGTTGAAACTAAGATTGCAAATAATAAAAATTTGTATAACCACGGGTAGGAATAAGTGGGGGTAATATATGTATTATATTTAACTACTGTGGCCACCCCCTTGATGATATATCCAATCTATTTACTAGCGTATTTAAAATTTGTGACTAGTAAAAAAATACAAATTAAATAAATTTTAAAATGCATTTTAATTGTTTCAATAGGGTTTGTTGTCTATCATCGCATTTATTTGATAAACGTATAATGATATCCCCACCTGTTAACCCCCCAATTTCATGTTTGTCCCATATTTATGACTAATTCAATAAATGAATATTCAAGAATATCATGAAATTATGTACAACAAAATGCAATGTTGTTTGAAAATAATTATATTTTATACACAAACATAAAATAAATACAATTGTTTGTCAGTCAATGTTGACTGAAATGAGAAAAAATTCCCATAAATAGATAGTGAAAATATAACAAAAATAAATTATTGAATAAAATTATTTGTTATTTTATTATTAAACTCAATATTGCAAAACATGGTGTCATAAATCATAACATTTTTAAAATACAGAACCTTTCATCTAATAACATACCAGTGTTTTTAAAGTTTATATAAAATATATTAAATAACATTTTTTGTGAACCAAAAAATTAATTGCCAATCATATCATTTAACTAATCACGAAAAACACATTATTTAGAGCTATTGTTGTAAATTCATTGCTCAATGATATATGTTTTTGAGTGGTATCTCATACACACACACAACTGGCGCGCAGTTATTACATAAACCACCCGTACGTTTGATACGTTGAGTTGTTTAACCCAGACCTAGGAATAGATAAGAGATACAAATTGGTCTCTCATTTACAATCAAATAAAAAACACTATGTCTTATATATATATAATATTAGAGACCAAACATATCATTGGGTTTTTTGTTATATAATTGTTTGTTTGAATCACAAGAAGAGGTCAAAAATGGCAAAAATTAAAGTATAAATATTATTATATATGAAAAAGAAAAAACTGTTTTCATTTCATTACATTTAATGAGTGGTTTCCTAACTCTCTAAAAGTTGTCTTAAATACTACTTTTGTGTGCAATTACTTGTCTTAATGATTGTTTATGTATTTTATTTATTTTTATGATGATTTAGCCAAACCCTGTTATATAAACTGTATGTATGTAAGCACTTTATACGTACATATTTATAACATATATATTTTGCACATGTAGTTTTTTTGTCTGTATGTGTGATTGTGATTAGTTTTTCTGTAGTAATACTGTATACAGTATATAATTCACCCGGAATAATGTTTTTAACATAGAGACCAAAAAATGTTCAATTATTTTAAAAATGTTTTAATCAAATGTCAATAAATAAACTGATAATAATGGAGATTTAAAAAAAGAAAGATTTAATCATTTAGTTTAGTGTCAAAGTTATGTTATATTAATACTGTAGTAGAAGTTATAAATGTTGATAAAAATATTTGTCATTTAAATTATGTTTTAAAAGTGCTATTTTAAGTTAGCATAGTTTTTATATGATTATTATACTTAATAAATAAATACTTAAATGAATTCAAATTGTAATATAAGCTGTATTTTTATTACCACTTGTTAAATTTATAATATTATGTTTAGCAAATTTATTTATTTTTATATTATGCATTTTATAATTGTCTAATATATAAGTCCTAAAATGTTATTATGCTTTATATTTTAAAGATGCCATAAATCAATAGTAGAATACATTCAGTATTTACATAGTATAACAATATTGTTAAATTTACTATTGTTAATAATACAATATGAAACTAATATCTATCTCATATAATTGATATTTTCAAACTAATAATACGTACGTACGTGTGAGTGAGTGTGTGTGTGTGTGTGTGTGTGTGTTTGTATGACTCAACCTTTCATTATATTTATATATATTTTCTACACTACTAGTGCTGATCAGAAAACTGAGTGCACTTTATTTTTGTGGCTTAAAATACAGTAGATTTTTTGTCATACCTGTGTAATAGGGTAAATACCTACCTGGCTGTAAGTGAGTGTGTGTATGTGTGTCTAATATACTCTACTAGCTTGATATCAGTGCAAATAGACTCGGATGCCAGTGCTATAGTGCCAGTGGCGTGACTCGAGCCGTCATTTTAGTCATCAATCATTTTATTTGACACAACTCTAAGGATAACCCAGAATGCAGTCGTTCGCCAACAACACCACTGATTTCATTGCAAAAAGCTTTTCCAGTCTCTCTTCTTCTCTCTTACTGATCTTCTCTCTCTCTCTCTCTCTCTCTCTCTCTCTCTCTCTCTCTCTCTCTCTCTCTCTCTCTCTCTCTCTCTCTCGATGTCATTTCAGGTATGACTGGCAGAGCGCTGCCACACTTGCAGAGAGAGAGAGAGAGAGAGAGAGAGAGAGAGAGAGCTAAAATTGTTGTGATAAAAATTATTTTAATATCCGATTAAAAATTTGGTGTATGAACTGTTATATAGTAAAGACACACAAATTCACGGCAATAATAGCCATCAAAAGTAAAAAACTTTCAGAAAATACAACTCATTTGAGTCAATGTCTGTGAAATGAGATTTAAATTCCTACCTTTTGTTTGGTGTTTTTTGCGAGAGCGCACCGGTATTAAAGCCGGTATTATATGTGAACTAAATGAGAGCGTTTTTGGCCTTTCGGGGGAACTGTGTGTGTGAGCCCTAATCATTACATTCATACCAGTGATCATATATACATTAAGAGAAACTCATTTTTCGGCCACTTCTCTCATTGAATCTTATATACAGTATATATATATATCTTTCGACAATTATATTCATAGCAAATATTATATCTGTAAATATTAAACATAATTGTCTGTAATAAAATTGTAGCATTCATTTCAATAATACTATACATTGATGTACAGAAACACAAAAGTATTATTATAAATATGTATTGCTTATGATTATCATTTAAGTATAACTCTCATCCCAACCATGAATATGACAATAACTTATCCAAAAAAAATTGTATAACAAAATCTAAAAGTGATTGCTTTGTATATTAGACTAAATATGTATATAACTAAAATATTGTATACGTTTTTATATATTAGCAATTCAACATTAAAAATTTTGTACTGTATATAATAAAAAAAACACAATACAGGAAATTATTTATAATAAGACATTTGTGTCTTATTTAGTCAATTATTATCTATAGTTAATGTCGCTGTTGTGTACGTATACATAAAAATAAGTCACATTAATTACATTTAATATTTTTAATCACAATACACTCGTATATTTTATATCTTAAATCTCATGTATTTATCTATATATATATATAAACTTGAATTGTTGTTACAGTTGATGACTATAAAAGTTTTGGTTCATTGCATCTCAAAGTTTTTTTTCATATAATGTATATAATAGGAGATAAAATTATTGACTGATAGCTTATGAATGTTTCATGAATGCTATGAACCACTGATTCAACCATCACTTACTCTTCTAATA